CGCATCACAGAAGTATTATTGTCTTTTCAAAATACATGTGCACTCCTGACCTTCTACGTTGAGTATGGACTGGAAATCAGAATTGCTGGCTTCATAAATGGCATACAGCCTGGATTTCACGCCCATAATCGTGGTGACATCAGCAGCTTTAACTATTAAAAGACGATTGCGATTAGAACTATTGCGTTGTCGACTACGGAGCTCCAAACGAATGAATGGAAATTTATACATAACAGTAGCCAGGACATTTAAAGGATACCCTTAAAAAGTTTGGAAAAGCTAAATCACAGTGATTTCTCTTTTCTGATAGAGCCAATTTCATTATTTTCCCCAGATTCCCCTTAAAATAGTGTTAACTGTATTTTCATCTGCCTAACTTCAACTTCCTAAAAATCATCCTCTCCTCACAGCGCCGTAGCGAACAGATTAGAATCAAAATAAGTGATTGCTCGGCAGAGTGAAGTACGGAGCGACATGTTCCACTTAAGGTAGCCGTGAACGCCTGTCCTTAACCTCGATATATGTGGCAAACGATTCCCTGACGGGTTATTGTGCTATCCCTACCGGTTGTCATAACCACTCAGTGGTTTGGAGACAGCTGCCACTGTTCAGCCGGTCAGCAACTGAGTTCTCCTCCGTGGTACTCAAAGCAGCTTCTGCTTCACAAGCAGCCACTTATTCGCGTTGAAGCAACGAGCTTCTCTATTACATTCTACTCCATTTCTCCAAAGAGACAGAATATTACAAGACAATCATACAGAAGAAATATGAATTCAGCCTATTGCCTCAGGGTTTTTATATATATCATCATTATCATCTTTCATCGTCGCTTCTCCTTTCGGGGTGCGGAGGCAGACACGTAAAATAGAGCTTCCAACGTTCCCGATCATGCGCCAGAGTCTGAGCTTCGGCAAAAGACAAATGGAGTCTGGAACAGACTCCTTCCACATGTTTGCACCAGGTTAATCTTGGCCATCCCCTGGGCCTTCTGACGGTCGGATTTGCAAGGAACAGTTGCTTAGCCTTCCTTTCTGGAGGCATTCGCAATACATACTCAAACCTTCGCAGGTATAATTTCTCAATCTGGAGAAGCAAAGGCTGTATTCCAAGGCTCTTACCGATTTGAGTATTCCGGACCATTTCGAGACGCGTAAGGCCAGCGACTCGTCTAAGAAAGCCCATCTCAGCAGTTTGTACCCGGGTTCGAAGTTTTTCAGTGATGGTCCACGATTCATGACCGTATGTAATGACTGTATCCATGGCA